GAATCTGTCCATTTCTTCTGTGTTGTCCATCTTATTGGCGTATAGGTTCTGGAAGTAGGTATTGATGATCATCTGGATTTCTGCTGGGTCTGTTGTAATTAGGGTGAACTTTTCTTAAACAAAACAATTCTTAGCTGTTATTATCAAGGATATGAATTAGAATGTGCATATCTTCACATAATAGTATATCCCACATAAAAGATAATTTATTGAAAACACACAAATTTATTATCTTACCCTAACTCTTTGGCAAATTTTTTCTTCTAGGTTAAAACATAGACACACACAATGTTGCATAAAATCAAAACTGTATACTGTCTAATGAAGTCAGTTATTTCATTTTTTTCTTTTTTGACATTTTTTCCCATTTTTGGTTTGACCTCACAAAATACATATAAATCTTTTTGACTGCATGAAAATTTCTTGATAAATAATTTAACTTTAGAATAAATTATCAATGATAAGCTTCTTCTGAAGAATAAAATATTGCAATACCTCAAAGCATTACCATTTCTCTGCCAAAATGCATTTTGTTACATAAGTGTAACTCTTTGACTGGAGTAACTATCCAGTTGCCCAAGTTTAGGGAGACATTGATTCCTTTCATCTCAAAATAACATTATTCCATTACAACCAAGTGTGGGGCAGAATTTAAAATGCGCATGATGTAAAGCATATTTGAGGAAAACCAGAATAAGTGTTTTAAAGGATGTTACAATCTCAGAAGAGGAGACATTATGGAATTTAAAACTATTTACTGATTTACATACTATTCAAATAGAGCACATATTTAACACATTCTTCCTCTCTGGAGGTAGAATGTAGAAAAATATAAGTGTGCTTTTTCTCTACTTATTAAGAGAAAGATATATATTATCTTGTTAAGAGATGATACATATTACATGTAACATATATTCCATATTTACTCAAAATATGGAATATATGTCAGTCCTGAAGAGCAAATATGATTTCTCTGTTCTTAAGCTGGCTATTCTTTTGATTTCTATAGTAAGTACAACCCCCATTCTATGAGTGTCACAAATAATAAGATTTACATTGAAAAAAATCTATGACTGGCAGAAATATGGTCATCAAAACATGAAAAGAAATCTCATTTTATAGTCGAGATGAAGAAAATGACAAGGGAGATATTTAAGTAATGGGAAACCCCATGAGCTGATTCACCATGTATACAAACAAAGGAGACATATATATTAAAAAATAATGCCAATTTAGATTCCCCCCTCTATATTTACTTTACTTCTAAAAGAAACCAAGACAAAGAATAAAAACTCTGTTCTGCAGAGAATCTAGCACAAAATTGCCTGGCTACATTTCGGTCTTTGCTACTAAGATTTTATATTCACCATTGGTGTTCTGAGCCTTGCCATAAAAACACAGAAGACTTCATTCCTATAAATCAAGATTTCAAGAAGAAAATGATTTGAGTTTATATGAAAATTTTACCTTTGACTTTGAGCATAGTTATATCTCATATAAATACCTATATTTAAATGTAATGCAAATATATTATTTCCAAAATTAATAGTGGAAATCCTTACCTAGATAAGAATCTTATGGGAAAGATTGAAATAATTAGGAAAGGGATGGATTTCCTCAAAAGAATAGCACAGTAAAATGCCTATAACTACATAGTCCAGTGACTTATGCTATAGTTTCCCAGCAAGCTCAATTCACTGGAAGAAAGGATTCCACTTGGTGGTGTGTGTGTGTGAGGAATGGTGAACCAATAGTAGAAGAAATGTCAAACTATCCCTGAATTTTTAATTTAACACTGTGCTCTTGTAACACTATATGAATGAATGTGGCAAATGTTTTAGGGTACAGTAAAAATTTGAATAAATCAGCAGGTGTTCATTATGTTCTTATAGAAAAAAATCTGATGAATCAATGTATTTTAATTCCTATTAAATTTTACCAAATTGAAATCCCTTAGACTAAAGCATAAAAGTAATATTAACACATGTACTAAGCATAATCTGCCAAATATGCAAGTGAGTGCTGAATTACAGGGATTTTGTATCTTCAGTGGCAAGCTTGAAAATGTACCAATTTGAATGTATAAATGGATTATTACTCATAAAAATTTCTGAATTTAAAATATAAAAATAGTAGAGAATAGGTTTTTATTATTCATTTAAAATTTTTTGTAGACTGAAGGAAATTATGTGGATTCATTTTTACTTAGGTTATCATTAAGATTAAATTTAAATATAAATTATATATGTTAAAAAGTAATATTTTGTGTCTTATTCAATACTATAATAAAAAGATAATTTCTACTAATTTAATACTAAATGGTATATATCATATTCTGCTCTAGCTTGACATGTTAAATTCTTCTGGAACGGGGTTATCACTACATTATTAATAGATTGTTACTTTTTTCACACAAGTACATCATAAGAGTGGTACATAAGGATGAACGTCAGTTACATGTATTTATAAATACATAGACATAGCACTAATTGTAAAGTATGATTACAAAGAAAAAGTGTAATACAAATATGAAAAGTACAAACTTAAAAAAATGTTCTTGAAACTTTATTTTGTTTAGTAAAATACAGTGATCAACTCAGAAATGCCCACTAATTTTCCTGAGTGGATGTTTTTCGGGGCCCTGATTTCTTTATGAGTTATCTCTTAGTCATTAATGCTGCAAGAATTGAAAAGGAGCTGTATTAAGAAATGCTTGTTAAAACACATCAAGACATTCTCACAGGTATAAAAAACATTTCAATGTATTTTCTTAATTCACAGTAAAATAAAAATGACAGAATTAAAGAAAAATCTAGGAAATAGTATGATTCAATCAGAATGGAAGAAAAAAAGATTGTCATGTTCCAGGGTCTAAAAAAATGTGTCACTCTTTTTTTTTCTTTTTGGTACTGGGGATCGAACTCAGGGCCTTGCACTTGTGAGGCAGGCGCAGTGCCACTGAGCTAAATCCCCAGCCCTGAGTCACTCTTAAAAGGGAATATTGACTTTTTAAAGTAGAGTTTTGAGTAAACATGAATTTTACAAATAAAATTAGCTTTATCTGTTTCAAGGCATAGTCATTTAAAAGTTCAGTTTCATCTCAATATTTATCTATATCCAAGAGTGAATAAGTTCAAAGCTTAGCTTACATCTTATATATCTTACAGGTTATAAGAAGAGCCAGGGCTTAGCAGGTTACAGGAACCAAAGAAGCACTGAGAAAGAACTGTTCTCACGGTGTGCTCCAAAGTTCTCCTAGAGGGATTTGGAGCTTAGAAAACCCCATATTCAATTTTCTGTGAAAAAAAACCAGTGAGTTTTATGGGTCTTTCTTCTGTGTGGAGGTGTCTCTGCCCTAGCCTTATCATTTCATTCCTGTGGTACAGTGGTTTTCTAGACCCTGTTGTACACACAATAGAGGCCAGATGCTGAGAATGATGTTGAGAAGTGACCAGAGATTAGCAAGAGGATGATTTTGATGCTCTTGTTCAGTGCGATTTCTATTTATTTAGAAAGCATTGCATGATTTGCTTAAAGTTCATGAAAAAATAAACTGAATAGTGATGAAACTCTGCAGAGTAGCTTGAAGAGGTATGAGAGGGATTTGGGAAAGCAGTCAATAGTCTTCTCGACAAGAAAAGCTGAAAGATCACATGCTAAGAATTACCTTACTTGATCTTTTCCAACTCTTCCTCATTAGCATTTTCTGTAAATGAAATAAAGCATTTTCATTATCTTTTCACTCTAGTACAGAACAGGGAACCCATTGTTTTCTACAGGAAATGTAACCTGCATTAGTCCTTTAAACAACAAACAGATTCCAGCAACAACTACACAGGACAAGAATTGTTTTTCACACACACATAGCTATAAAAGCACCTTTAACATTCAAACGGTCTTTCTAGTGAGAGTTCATTTGCTGTATTCTTTGAATGAAGGAATGGGACAGTATATTTTAAACAGAATGGAAAGCTTGACATACCTTAATTATTACCGGGAAATGTACATTGAGTCTCTTAATTCACAATTGCTCCTTTTGGTGGTGGGAGCTAAGGATATATTTGACTTTACAGGTATATAATAATCTTTCCATTTAAATACATTAAAAGTCTGTTGCTTTGGTGGCATCTTAGAATTGTCCCTACTTCCAGATAATCTTTCCCATCAAGGTCTACAAATGCTTTCAACTAGGAAAAATGATGTATATTGTGATGGCTATTGGTGTAAGTTGCTGCTAAATCTTCATCCAAAACATTAGTCTTCAAGCTATTTTTTTTCATTAAGTTTACTGGTACATTTCAGGTATACAATACAGTTACATTCATAACTGGAAACTTGTACATGTACATGATGTATCTTGGTTCTTATTGTTTCCCCCATTCCCCTGCTCTTCAAGCTATTTTGTTTGTGTAAGAAGTATTTATGGGCAAACATTTTAGGTAATGTTCTGGAGATTTCTGACGAATCCCTAAGATCACTGGTCTCTTGAGTAAGGTAAACTATTAACACCAAAAATTTTTTAAATTTCTTCTTTACTGTTAAAAATTCTCAGTGCATACTGAGTTATTAATCTTGCTGATTAATCTCTTCACCCTGTCTTAGTTTTACCAGTACCTTCAAGTCAGGTGAAGTGCAGAGTGGGGAATATTTGGAGCAAAAAAAAAAAAGCTTATCTAAATGCTTGGCATATCTTATAAGGAAGTATGGTGATTTCTTTTAAAACTATCTCCTATTGGAGAATTCCTTCTAAAGAAGGAACACTCACTCATAGTTTATAAAAATACAAGAAAAATATTTTAATATAAAACTAAAACAAACTTTGCCTTGAACTGAGAGAATAGGATGCTATAGAGGTTCTAGAGCAGGAAATAAGAAAATCATAAAATTGTCAAAGATAATAATAGCATTCGTTTTTTCTGCAGGTAGCAGTTTTAAGGGGTATATTTTCTTTACATGTGTTTCATGTTAAATATTAATCAAGACATTGAAGAGTAATAGATTTCTTTTTTTCAGATGGAACCAAGAAACTATAAAGCATTGCCATCAATACTATTATAGAGACATTTTGTGTTTTCCAAGTACTAAGATCCAGTTCATTTTGAAGCAAGGAATCCCAGCATTAGGTTGTGGAGATAGACAGCTGGTAGACGTGTAATGTATGTTTGTTGTGGATGTCAAATGAGTCACCATCGCCATCATGACCTCTGCCACTACCACCACTACCACCAACAGGCAACTGGCAACCAGCTTCTTCAGTGGCATGCCATATTCATGAAAACTGTCCAGTGAGGAGATCGATAATTAATGCTCCACTTTCTCAAAAAGCAGAGTTCCAATGGGAAAATTATGATTCCTAAAGACAACGTTGTGAGTCAAATTAGTGAGAAAAAATAAATCGAAAAGAAAAACCTCTTAACTCACAGTCACGTATCATCATCTGGCATCTAAGAATCTTACAAAAAAATCCCATCCTATAAAAAAAATGCTGTGTATGAAAAAGGGGGTTAGGAAGAATGGAATTTCTTCTTAGGAAGATCCAACGTGTTGGTCAAAGTCACATTAATGATTCAGAAGCACTGCGTATAATTAGCCTTCTATAGGTAAAACAAAATGTATGATTGATATTTTTCTTGTCTTTCAAAATTATAAGCAGGCCACATGGTTTATTCTTCTGATTGGGAATCTGATACAAGCAAAAAGTCAGTGATTCCTTAAATGATTTGGCAATTATGAGGACCAATTAATTGCTTTCCTGATTTGGTATCTAAAGTTCTACTACTAGACCCAGTAATCTGAAAATTGCCCTAGGTTTTACAACAAAATGTCTCCCTCTTTAGCCTAATCCACTAAATAAAGTGAGGCATTTCATATCCCACACCTAAGTCCTTTCTTCTGTTTAGGTATTTAGTTAAGATAGATTCAATAAAACTTTAAACAGAAAACTTAAAAGCAAGATACACCATTAATATGATACACTATTTAATATGATTTATTTAATAGACACACTATTAATATGATTATTTTTCCTATCTGTAATGTGCTACAGAAGAAAGATTGGGGAAAGTTAAAGATTGAAGATGAAGTGAATTCTAAAAAAATAAGCTTTTATTTTTACTCTATGATCTTAACTTCAGCTGAGAAACATATGAATTAGTTTTTGAAGGTATCCATACCTAATATTATATTGAATAGTATAATACACAATTTCAATTCTTCATTAGTGCTCAACCTTCCTTGAAGCCACAAAAAAGAACATAACATATGGTTTGTGACAGGGCAGTGGAAGTGATTATTTCTAAAAGATCCAAATTTCAGTCCATTTTTTTCACTCTATTCCTCTGTTGTAGTGATTTTTTAGAGAATTATATTGCTAATATACATACAAATTGCAGAATAGTTACCACAAATACATATTCAACTTTTTGTAAATGGATATATCCTCAAATTTTGGCTGTGTAAAAATTCTAAAAAATATAAAAATTAAACCAAAGTTAATATATCCATCTATATATGTATTTTAAATCCATTAAATGGAACTAAGGTTAATTCATATGTTTCTTTAATTTTTCTATTTTTAAGCCTTAGCTAAGCAATTTGCAGGTGGTAAGTTATTTAAGAGAGTGTGTAACACAAATTAACTCACTTTTATTTCACAAATTCTCCAATGAAGAAAGCTGTGGACTGAACTCTGCTAGAAAAGAGCCAGAAAGAACTCAAACACACCATCAGACACAAATACCATATATAGGACACACATGTACAGACTACACACTTTTTCAGGTTTAAAGCAGGACATGCAATCAAAACAGAAATGACAGTTGTGCCATGCAATGAGTCAGCATGCCCCCCGTGATGTTTTAGTGTCTTGTACACACAATGCTGAAGACTTAAATAATGTAAATATCTGCTCACATCTGAGATTTTTTTAAAAAGGGTGCATCATGAACTCAGGGAAATTTTAATATTAACAACTATGAAGTACATTTGCTATTACTCATACTACACTTCTTAAATTGCTGTAATTAGATGCTACATGTTTTGAAGGCTTTAGTAGATTCCGCAGGCTGATAGCTTTTCCAACTCATTCTTTAGTTTTACTGATTTCCAGAAAAGGCAATCCACACAAGGAGAAATCATCTCAACTGCATTATTCATGGAGTATATTGTCAATATTTACAGTGCATAGAAACTCTCAAGATAACTGAGAAATCTTCACTTTGTAATACCAAGTATTCTTGATTTCCAGCTCTCTTCTTACTTTTCATAGCATTTTCCTAATGTTAATTTTCTATTTCCTATCTGATTGTTTATTTGTTAAAGGCTCTTGAAACTCATCTCTTCCATTCTCCATTTTAATATGTATAAAATATTTAGCAGAGTTTCATAAACACAGGCATAAAACTAAATGTGATTTTTTTGAACTAAAGTCTTCAGTCCCAAAAGCCTAAACTAAATTATTTCTAAGATAACAATCAAAGAGAACAGAACTCTTCCTGTAATTTTGCTGTGTGAGGGTCAATGCAAAATCATCTTCTATTTCCACTCTCTGTCTTTCATATTAGACAAGATGGTGAAGCACTCAGTGATTGATTTCTGGTTTGCTGCATTTTTAATTTGAACTTCTTTAAATAAATAAGATTGTTCTTGGATAATTTGCAAAAGTTCAGCATGCCATTTTCACCAAAAAAGTATTTTTATATATTACAGGCATAAAAAGATTTGATTTGAAGATATACTGGATCTCTTATTGTTTTTAACTAAGAAATTTCAATTGTGCCCCAGTGAAATATATTTAGCTAATAATAGACATATTACAAAGTAAGGAAAATTCAGTCACATGTTTATCATTATTGTCATCATTAGAAATCCTTGAAAAGAGCAATATAACTTGATTTTAAGCAGATTATCATTAATATACTAATCTTAAGAACTTATAAAAGAAAATTAAATCATTATTTAATCAGGATTTGAATACTGAAGTAAGGAAAAAAACCCTTAACATACCTTCCCCTGGTCCTTTGACGTATCCCTTCAAGTTCTCATAGAGATTTATCTACAACCCAACAAGTACTAGGTCCAGAAAATAAGACTGGGTTTTGAGAGCTGTCATCAAGAGTATACATAAAGCTGCCCGTGGAGGATACAGAAAGTTCACTGTATTTACATTTTTTGTAATACACTAAATGTTCCCCTCCCCCAGAACGACAGGGTGTGAGAGCGGAGGTGAAGGGAAGAAAGGCATACTGCAAGGAGGACAAAGGACACTGAGGCCAGATCAGACTAGAGAGAAGGCGAACTGTGAAGGAGTCTGTGTGGCTGGGACAGAAGTTACTGAGGGAACTTATGCTGCTTGTTGGAGAGCCTTCAAGTTCCTCCTCAGGAGCTTCCATTTCATTACAGAAGCAGCCGCAGAGCACGAACACTTAAGAGGAAGCAAGAGGAGGGAGTTATGAGCCTAGCACAATGCTTAGTAAGTGAGCAAGAAATTGATTTTTTTCTTTTCTTTTTAAATATTGTATATATATATTTATGGGGAAAAGTGATGTTTCTATATATTATACACTGTTCGATGTTTGAATCGGAGTAATCACATCTATCTTCCCAAACGTTTGTCGTTTTTGGCAATGAAAGTATTCAAAATGTTTTTTTCTCTTCTGAAATATGCAGTATGTTTTCCTTACCTACATCCACCCTGCTGTGCAGCAACCCTGCAGCACTACCTAAGCAAAACTTAACAGCTCATGTCTGATCTTTCCCCATCGCTCTCTCCTAGCCTTTCCCTCGCCTCAGGTAGCCACCACTGTACTTGAAACTTCTATGAAATCAACGTTTTCAGCTCATTATATGAGTCAGATCACGAAGTATTTGTCTTTCTGTGCCTGACCTATTTCACGCAACATAATGTCTTCTAGTTCCATCCACAATGTAGCAAATGACAAACTTTCATCCTTTTCAATACCTGAATAGTATTCTTTTGTAGGTTTTAAAAAATGCATGCTTACTAATGGTTCATGGTAGAGTTTTAAGCACTAATAACTTGTGCTGATAAACATAATAACTAGATATAGAGAGCTTAAAATTGTAGCTATAGATCTACTACTGAGGCCAAATAAAGAAAAACAAGAAACAAATTATATGTATTTGTTGACAGTTATCTTAATGTAAAACATACAGTTAGAAACTCAGGTTCAAATCTAGGGTATTTAATAACTAGGATATTGGATTCTCATAGAATTTTATTTTATTTTTTATTTTTCTGGTACTGAGGATTAAACTCAGGACCTTGTACTTCAGAGGCAGGCAGCAGCACCACTGAGCTAAATCCCAGCCCCCTGGTAGAATTTTCTGAGGTGGATCTTTGATCCTACTTCCCCTGCCCACCAGGAGCGAGCTTGCTTCTCTACAGGCAAACTTGTTCCCTGGCCATTATTCATACCTACAAGGCTGAGCTATGATAACCACAGTGGTGACCAAAGTCAGGAGGAGAAGTGTGAGAACGTTCCCAGCAAAGGGCCATTGCTGAGCTCTGGCTAAACCACTTGTATCTCTGAGGAAGAAGAAAGAAGTCAGGGGAGGATCAGCAGTAGGATGGAGGAAAGATACCACTTCCCAGTTCTCACAGTGGAATAAATCCAATACTACCCGAAACTCTGTCAGGGCTGGACACGAAGGAAGGAAATGCATGAAAACTAGCTGGTAGTGAAGGGATTCTTCCAGGATATCAGGGGTAATCACAGGAATTTGAGTTTTTAAAATGGCACGAGAATTTTAGGAGGAAATCTTTGTGTTGAAGATGAATATGGCTGGAGAGATATAATGAGAAAAGAAAAAGAGGAAAAGAAGGAGATGGATAAACCAGATTTTTGATATGTAACTATTTTATATGACCCACCTGTTTTCTTCCATATTTGTGTTTGAAAACACACGGATAATCAGCTCTGGAGTGCTATAATATTTTCTTCTAATTAGAAATACTTGGTATCTAAACTGCAAGTTTGAGTGAGCACGGAGATTGAATTGATTTTTGCAATAATGTTGAAAAAAATAAGAACTACTTTGCCTGTGCTGACATCTATTTCTGTGTAATTTAGAACAACTCAGCAGCTTCATTGTAAGGTCTCTGGATACTAACTTGATCCCTCAGTTTGAAGCTAGAATATTTAATAAAGATTCTTTAATGTAAAAATTCAGCAGCCTACCTATCATCACATCAGCTCAATAACTGTCACAGCTGCTACATCATTCCAATCCCCAGTAATATTGCCAGTTTTGATGGTGTGGGGATATGCAGGACCTCAGGCACTTAGCTATGTTTATTTATGAAGGACTGTCCTTTATTAAAATAACAAAGAACCTCAAAGCAGGAATATTCTATCACCACACTATGTTGAATTTTACCTCCTACAGGTTAATCTGCCAATTTCCTTCCATCTCTCTTTCTGACTGTTCTAATCCAAACCACCGTCATCTTTCACTTGAATTTTGCAATAGCCTCCTAATAGGTCTCCAAACATCCATCCATACTCCTTCAATCTGCTTTGTACCATGCAGGTAAAGAGATATTTTCAACAGGCAAATATGATTATGTCACTTCCTATTTGCAAACCTTTCAATGCCTCCCCATTGCTCTTTGGGAAAGGACTACAGATCTTAACAAGCCAACAGGCCCTCCACAGACTGGGCATTTCTTTCCATTCTAGTGTCCTCATGCACCATGACCATCCACCTTCTCTAACATCCAGAACCTTCTTGATTCTTGGAGTAAAACATGGTTTCTCTCACCACAGGGCCTTTGCAGATGTTGTGTTCTCTGCTTAGAATACTTCTCTTCTTGTTTTTTTGCCTCATTAACTCCTATCCACACTTCACATTTAACTTCCTCAGAGAATCCTTGTCCCTCTGACTAGAACAAAATTCCCCATGTTTGCTCCTTCACCAACATGTATCTCTCTTGCGGCACTTAACACGTTGTCTTTTTACATTTTCTCCACGAGTCCTGAGTTTTCAACTGGACCTAAGTTCTATTGTATCTCAAGTATTCAGCACAAGAACAGGCTTACAGTAGGTTCTTGGTGATTACCAGGGTTATTTGAATAAAACAAATAAATGAATATGTATAATTTATTCCTGTGTATGGATTAGCTAGCTACAATGTACTTCCTGATTTGTATGGAGCATAGTAATGTTTTCTGAATTGGTGAATTCTAAAACGATGGGCTTCCATTTCTAAACACTCTCTGGAGAAACCTTTCTTTGCCCACCCTTCCATCTGCACGCATACATATGTGACTTCACCATATTACATTTTCACAGTGAATAGTGCTTGGTAATACTTACTGGAAAAGAAACATTTCTCTTCAGATACTTAGCCAACATTTAAGAAACATATATATGAATTTGTAGGCTCATTGTTTACCTTTTAAAGAGATAGAAAAATAATTCTTGATGGGGTGAAATTTTTACTAAGTTTAAAACTTTCAAATTTGAGGTTGTACTATTTGTACATATGATCTTAGGGAAAATGTCAATAATTCCTTTTTCAGCAGACAACACATAACAGCCTTAATCGTGTATTATTTTAAGACAGCCATATGTATATTGCTGAAACAGAGTATTTGTACTTGACTAACAAAATATGTTTACTACAAAAATGTGTTACAATTAGAGCTAGAGTAGTTTCCAAACACATGAATGTGCATTCGGTCTAATAAATAATTTCTGGTAAATTGTGGCCGAAAGTGCACTGTAAAGCATACTAATGTGGGTCACAGCTGATATTTTTTTCGTGTCACTTCAAGAGTGTGGAATTGGCTCCTCGGTATCCCTTGTTAGTTTCTCACAGCAGCATGGTGTGCAAGGGAATACAGACAGCACGTGCTGAAAAATGGGGACTATCAACATGGAAGCCCATTGAGAAGATGAAAAAGTGCTCACTTATCATTCAGTAAACAAATGCCAGAAAGCAGAAACTCTGTTATAATTTCACCTCACTTTTTTTTTTATGGTCCACCTGACAATTCAGTCAAAACAGTAGGGTCTGGATACATCAGTGTGGAATTCCAAATATTCAATTCACCAATAAATGTATTCCCTGAATGAATAGAAATATTTCCCTACAATATAGCATATTTGAAATTGAGAAATAAAATTATAAAGAAAAGCACAAATGCATTCCCTGTTTACAACAAGAGGTTCTGATCTGGAGCGTGGGACAGGAACTTTGAGTTGAAAAGACACAGTAAGCATGGATGAGTGATACTCAAGATACTCACAGAAACAGAGCACCAGCCAGATTTCATGTGAAGCTTCTCTTTACTACGACTTCTGGGTCCAAAGAAGGCTCACATACTTGCAAAGCAAGAAAGAGTTCCTACTAGGCTGTGGGGGAACTTACCACATCCCTGGGTTCTCCTTCTTTAGGCGTAAGGACGACCAAGAGCAAAATGATCCCAAGGTCATGGTCAGGGTAGTGGGGATCTTTCAGGGTTAGGGTCACATCTGTTGGCCTGTGAGATAAAATATTTCAATTTTAAACATTGAATAAATAAGCCAGAAAATACTCAGTTAAAAGGTATTGCTATAAGAACCAAAGCAATTTTTTCCTCCTTTACTTTCTTAGTGTAATTATTGTTGCATCAAAATATCATCAATGTCTTAAGTTATCCAATAAACTGTGAATCAGTTAAATATACTTGAATTCACTGGAGAAATCGCTATCCTTCCTGGGCTTCTAGAAAGTTACTGAAAAGGTCAGGAATGACATTATTGGAAAACCAATAAATCCTTTTTCTGTAATCTCTAAACCCACAGAGAACAGTACCAGCTATTTTGTAGACATTTCAGTCCAGTAACTAGACAAGGGTCATTCACTGAAAAGTACCATCCTTTTAGTTCTCTGGGAGTTTTTTTTTTTTAAGTAGGAGGATGTTGTAAAGCAAACAGGTACATGGGAAAACAGGAAAATATAATCTATACTTTATCTGCTTTATAGACATAATCTTAAAACAATATATAATGATTTAAAAGAATATCTGATACTTAAAATCAGATTTTTTGGATCTTTTGACCTATACCCAAATAATCTTTAGGTCTGAAAGATGAAACAATGAATACCTAGGGTTGGGTTATACAGCCTTGGGAATGAGATAAGCATTTCTGAGGAAGTTATTATGAGTAACTCAACATTGCACAATCACTTTTGGAAAAATAATGAAAATACATTTGCAACTGACAGTGCACAGGTGCTGCAACTAATCACTTGGTAGTAACAACTTGTTCCTTTGACTTTAACAAATGCATTTTAAGCATTATATATGTGCACACTATATACACATGTAGGGTTACGATTTGATTTGATTCATTTTCCTGTCATGAGTACATACACAAATTAATAGGAACAATTTATTATAATGGTTATATGATATAGATTTAAGGACATTTACAGCTTTTTGGTGATGCTTAGCTCTTATTTTCTTTCAAAGAGATATCTTAATGCTTTATCTAATAGCTGAAGTATTTATATGGCAAGTATTATTTTATTTTGTATGCCCAGACTACTGATTTATACATAGAATAGAATGGCATACACAAAAATGTGGCTTTAAAGAGTGGTATTCTGGGACCAGAGATTTAGCTCAGTGATTCCACCGCCTGCCTCGAAAGCACAAGGCCCCAAGTTCGATCCCTGGTATCAAAAAAAAAAAAAAAAAAGAGTGGTATTCTTAGGGGAGGGAATGGATTAAGGAACAAGAGAAGTTTATGCTTCAGGATTAAGTCTAGTATTTTGAATATTCTTATGCAGAGATCTACAGAGAAAGTAATTGCAGCCTTTATAAAAGAACAGCACAGTGCATTCTAGTTTGAGCTCAGTGTTCATAATAATGGACACATACACCATTCTTTGGGATACTCCCTACAAAAGTGGGTTGTCATTAGTCAGCTAAGTTCTAGCCCAAGGTTAAACCAGTGCTGGGCTTTAGGTTAGAATGGAGGGCATATAGAAAGTACAGAAAAGGCTACTCTTGTTCAGTCAAGGCAAACACTGGAAGTTCAATAAGCTGGCCCTATGCTTCAGTTTGTAATACACAAGGGGGTTCTTCTACGAACATTTCTCTACGCATTTACATTTACGGAAAAAGAAAGTAGTACTCTGGCCCATGAGTCTGCTTTCTGGTTTTCCACTATCCCTATAATGTGATGTGACATGATCATCCCAAACAGGAATTCCTTCTCCTCAGAACCATCAAAGAAGCTTTCTTTACTACCCATTTCAGCACTTCTTGACTTTTTAAAACCACTTTTTACCTTATGTAGTATGATCATTTCTTAATTCCTATGTTGAAGTGAATTTTGAAAACTATATGCCCATTGAGTGCAAGGAATGATTTACACTAGTAGTAACAATATAGTTTTGCAACTAGTCAAGCAATGTTAAATAATATGAGTAAATAGAGCCAATCTTCCTTGACTTTAGGGGTACTTCTTGGTAATGTAGTGATGGCAAACTGGTGATGCTAAATAATGATGGCATCGCCGGGGATTTAGCTCAGTGGTTTCACCGCCTGCTGCGCAAGCACAAGGACCAGAGTTCAGTCCCTGGTACCAAAAAAAATAAAAAATAAATAAAAAATAAATAAATAATGATGGCGAAATCAGGTCCTACCTTGGCTCAAGTGATAGGAAAGTTGCTGTTTTTGAAGCAAAGCATGCATGTTTATTTCATATATAACAGTCTAATACTTGAATTAATGATTATGATTAATATGCACAATCATTAATGTGCCCTACTGCAATCATCTGAGGACTGTGGGATTAAACAATGTGTCTCTGATCTCTAGATTCCCAGAGCTGATCACAGAGTTGGGAGACAGAGCAGGTGTCTGAGAATTTTTCTGTTGTTGAACTAGGGAGTTGGGGATGATGCTGTTATTCACATCAGATAGATGAGAAAGGTGAACTTGAGGAAGGCTGACTAGCCTGAAGGCTCACAGCTGTAATGATAAAACAGCAACTATAGTGGCCAGAGGGCTTACACTGTCTATCTCACAGGCCCAGCTGCACCAGGCATAGCAGCGTTACAACACTTGAAAGTCACCTGTTTAACTCCAACTGTGTGAGATCCAGAAAGGCTGACCCCATAAAATCATCCTGTAGTCCAAAATCATAGTCAAATACCTGAAAAGCAAGGAGACAAGGCATTGTTATCAATAACTAGGTTTCAAATGAAAATGTCTTGATTATGAAATATTGGTTATCTTTGTCATCCAAAACAACAAAACTTTCTGAAATTTACTTTTAAAATATATTTGTTCTTATGCTTTGGAATATTAGGAAAATATTCATAACACACTCAAATAAAGTTATATTTCATTTTTATCTTCATATTATTGGTTTATACCAAATACAACATTTAAAAAGATATGCTAACATCAAATAAAATACACTGAATCTTCAAAACATGTGAAAAACATAGGCTTAGAATATTTTTTCTATCACAGGAAAACCATTGGCATTACTTTGGAAGGCAAAGTGAGATCCTATGAAATTCACCAAATACGCCTTCCACTTTAGCCATTAGATGATGAGAATATGATAATTCTTTCATATATTTTAGGTCACTGAAAATAAATTCTCTGATATTATAGGCTAATGCCTTTTTAAACACACAAATAAATAATTAAAATTCCTTGGTTATGGTATTTTGTAAAGTTATATTAAATTTAAACTCAAGGTTTTATTGTCGCAAGCAATTACTGGGGCTAATTCTAACGTGACTAACAACAACACAAGTGAAAAATGAAGAAAGAAAAGAGAATGCATTTCTTCCTTCTGTCAGTGTTACGCAGGATCACAGTATCTTCTCCGTGTCTTACATGGTTCTTAATCATATTATGGTAAGATAGGCAAAGTCCCTGACTTCCTGGATGCTACATTTAAGAACTGAGACAGCCAATAAATACCTAAATCTATATATGCAGTTTAGTGATGAGAGCTATGAGGACAAGTAAAAGTCTAAGAGGTATGTTGAGAGGTGCTATTTTAGGTAGGAAGTCCCGGAGGGCTTCTCTGAGCAGGTGTATTTGTGTACAGACCTAAATGATGAGAAGCACAAGACCATGCTGAAATGGGGATGACCACTCCAGCCTGAGGCATCAGCAAATACAGAAGAGAGATTGATGTGCTTAAAGATCAGTAAGAAACCAGTGGTGATGAAAGAAATTGAGAGTCGGACAGTAAAAGGGGGTTGGAGGGACAGCTCAAGAATAGGTCAGTTAGGGCTTTTTGCAAAGGATTCTATGTAAATGAGAACAAGCTGACTTCCACCCACTTATTAATTTTTTCATTCATCTTTCCCCTGGCTAGTGTTAAATACTTGTGATATTCCAGGAAATATGCTAGGCACCGAGAAGAGTGGCAAGCAAAGATATCATTCTCGATGCCTACAGTTTAGTGAGGGGACAGGTGCTACACAAGGAAGCACTGAGCTGGCATATGTATGTTGCCAATTTTGACAAATGTTTTATGAAAAAGAATAGGGTATGAAAAGAAAGAATAATAAAGGAGATCTGGGAGAGCTTTCAAGAAAAAATAAAGCTACTAGATGAGGTTTAGGGCTATGCTTCCCAATCTTTTCAAATAGAAACTATTTGTATTGAGCACTGAAATAAATGAGCATAAATGGATCAGTCCACCCCTGAGTGGGAGGCCCAGACTATTGGACTTTCCAGGATGTCACAATCATGAGCCTCAGGAAATTAATAGCTCACTACTCCTGTATCCACTTCCTAGCATAACAGTTAGAAAGCCCAGTACCTAGGAATACAAAAGGTACAACAGGCTTGAATCAGTTACTGCTTTTTATACTAGTACAGGTGTACTTCAAATTTTAAAAAATTGAATATGCAAAAACTGATTTTAAACCAAAAGATAAATACTTTGCATTACAAAAGGATTCTTAGACTTGAAGAGTCACAGGGGAATTGATTTAAGCAATGAGCTTCCCTAATGTCTTTTATACCACTCAGTTTGCTGTCATTTGATTTACATACAGCCCTTCAGGAGTACATTTATTGTAGAAAGCTCAGCACTTGTGCAATAAATATTCTCCTTGATCAATTACACTTCTGAGCTTTAGTCATCTGTTCAGAGCATGTCACATGCGTGCACTGCACATCTTAGACAACTGACATTTCAAAACTTGCAGGTGGCTAAAGCAGTATGTTTTACAACATAAAATTTACACAAGACACTAGATAAATTTCTTACACAATTTCTTCTAATCATGTCATTCTTGGACTTCAAATCTTGGAGAAAAGATAGATGGCATATAATCACTGAGAACACCTAGAGTACATCTATACATAGGAATCCAGTGAATTGATCAGCATGGACAGCCCAATGGGGTGATTAGTGTCCAAATGCTCTTAATTCTCACCTTGAGAGTCCTTCCTACAGTCCTAATTCTGGGATTTTACTTTAGCTCTTTATTCCTATTAATCAGTGATGTCACAAACATGGGAAAGAATGGAAACCTCAGAATGCATTTATTAATGAAATAAATATACTACTTGGTTGTACTACTGGTTATGCTACTTGGGTCTAAACTCTACAAACCATTTGTTAGAGAGAGCCTTATTATAGGTGGATCTTCAAAAACAGAGCATAGAAGAGAAATAAAAAAGAAAAGTCATTCCCACTCAAGTAACAAGCAAGTCAATGTTTACTAATGTTTATTCAGTATTTCTTCTAAATTGGGTATTGTTTTAAACACATTAGATAGATTTTGTAATTTAACTCTTTCACAATCCACTTAATAAGGCATTGTTTCTATTTCTCAGATAAAAATTTTAAAGCTGAAAAAGTTTATGCTAGTTACTCCCAAGATCTAGGACTAGGAAGAAGCAAGATTCAATTCTCGTATTGGATTTCAGAAACAGAGCGTGTTTAAACTTTTTTTCCATTAGGTTTATTGCTACATTTTAGGTATAAAATACAGTTACATTCATCACTGGGATTTTTTTTTTTTTGTACCGGGGATGGAACTCGGGTTCTTGTGCTTGCGCAGCAGGTGGCGAAACCACTGAGCTAAATCCCCGGCCATCATTGGGATCTTGAACCTTCACATGATGTAAGCTGGTAATTTTTTTCCCCTTCCACTGCCCTCCCTTCACCCTCTCCAGCCTTCCCTATTTGCAAAGACTTTGTTTCCATTTTTCCCCTTTTCTCATGTTTTATCTTTTCCCTTCTTTCCTTTCCCTGAACCCTTCCACTCCCCCTACTCCTTTAGACCTTTTCTTCCTATTATGCAATATCAATTATACATTTTTAAAATTACAATATCAAAATTTAGAGGACATTACTACAGATTTTACAGAATTTAAAAGGATATAGAAAGCATATTACAAAAATCTTTTTTTGAAATAAATTTGACAACTTCTAAGAAGTACCTTGGAAGACAAATTAATGAAACTGACTCTGGAAGAAATATAAAATTTGAATAGCACCTATTAAAGAAAGTATATTCCTAGCTTGAAAAACTACCTATATGACAACAGGCACATATACATTTTAACTGATAAATTATATCAAACATTTAAAGCAGAAGAAAGAAGGAACACTTCTTCCCTCATTTTAGGAAATCAACATTGTGCTAATACTAAAACTGGATAAAGGTACAGAAGAAAAAAGTATGAACATAGATAGAAATTTGTTTAATAAAACAAACTATTAGAAGTCAGATCTGGCAGGATGTAGAAAGTGGTTTTGTTATAGGGATGGCAGTGTTGGTTCAGCATTGGAAGATCCACCCCCAAAAGTCATCATTTTAACAGAGGAAAGAAAAAAGTCATACAATCCTGTCACTAGTTGGAGAAAAAGTATTGGAGTAAACTCTACAGCTGTTCATGGTAAAAGCTATCAGAAGACTAGAAGTAGAACAGAACCTTCTCAACAGATTAAAGACATGTACTCCATACTTCCAGAAAAAATGCTTTATATGAATGGAGAAGATACAATGTTTTCTCCCTAAGCTGGGGAACAAGGGCAGATATGCTTACTCTTCATCTGTCCATTAAACTTTGAAACATAGGCCCAAACCAAAATAGTCTGGCAATAAAAAGACACAATTAGCATAGGATTAGCAAGGTAGAAGTAAAATCTTTATATGTAGATGAAATGATTATCTACACAGAAAATACTCAGAAATCACTGGGAGCCCCTAGAACTTGTATTTGAATTTAGCAGGATTAGAAAACACAAGGTCTATATAAAAATTCAGGTCTATGTATACTTGCTACAAATGAAGAATTGGATATTGAAATTTAAAAGTTATGTAGGAGTACAAAGGACCTAGAAAAGTAAAGAGAAAAAAAAAACCAGTGTTGGAAGACATTTATTACCTAATTTTAAGACTTCCTCTAAAGCTACAGTAATCAAGGGAGTGTTGGCATAAGGAAAGACATATAGATCATTTGAATAAAACAGAGAATCTAGAAGTAGAACCACACATATATGATCCACTGAGTTTTGAAAGATTATTTAACATTAACATTTTACAAAACATAAACTCAATTCAAGAGCAGAGGAAAAGATAGTGTTTTCAGCAAATGGGACTAGAACACCTGGTATCTGCATGTAAAAAATTAACCTCAACCCTTTATTTCCATACATAAAAATAACTTGAAGGGATCTATGAAGCTAAATATGAAAGACTAAAGCTATAAAACTCTAAGAAGAAATTATAAGGGAAAATGTTCATGAATTTAGGGGAGGTAAGAATTTCCTAGGATACAAAAAACATGATGTATAAAAGAAAGAAATTAATAAAGGAAATTCCATCAAAATTTAGAACTTTAAATGACATTGTTAAGAAAATGAAGAGTAGTCCTTAAACAGACCATATTTATAATGCATATATATTATGACCAGAATATATAAAGAACTCTTACAGCTCATTAACAGACAACCCAATTAAAAAATAGACACAAGATGATAAATAGTACAGCACAAGGAAAGGTGTGCAACACTAGAATCAGAAAAATACTAATCAATACAATAACAAGATCATATCATACACTCATTAGGGAGAGGAAGTTAAAAGTTTTAAAAGAACAAATATCAGCTTAGGTGTGAACTAGTTAGAACTAATGTGAATATAATGTGAAATCCACGTGATC